TCTGAACGAGAGACTTAATATCAGCAATTTCTTATGCTGAAGTGTACGATGTGTTGCATACCTATTTACAAACAATTCCTTTAAATTTTAATCATTGATTACTGTACATCTATTAAAAAACCATAATGGCCGACATCAGTGACAATGCGACAACAATTGAAAAAGAATGATGGCCGACAACAGCAACAATTAAAAAAAATGATGGCCGACAACAGCAACAATTAAAAAAAATGATGGCCGACACTACGTCATAGTGGAGTAATAAAAATGGTCGACTATTGAGAATACGAATAAACGTAGAACTCAAATCTTTTTTTAATAATATATATAAAAAAAATTATGAGTGATTTCAGCACAAGGCAACGTTCAACCCTTGTTCTCCAACTATTGCTAACAATGATGTCAATTCTTTAAAACGCATAAACAATTAAAATCAAAACGTTTCTCAAACAATTTTTAACGCATAGAAAGTGATTAAGCAACTTGTTCACAAAAGTGAATTTCGACTACTCGAAACAATGGTGCTAACATTTTCAAGTTCACAGTGACTGATAGGGGGGAAGAACTTGTCTATAGTAACAAATGTTTTCATTGTTTGTCACAATCAATTTTAATTTCAGTAGCTAACGATTTTCTTTCTCTTTCCTTTGTAGAAATTGGTAGCGGGAAATTTGCAGCATATTTATTGATCAACATATTTTCCGGAGTAATATGGGTTGCCTGTACGTTTGGAGCTGAGGCGCGAATTCAAAATCTTTTTGAAAAACAGCTATTTTCGCGTACGGAAAGAACAAAGAAAAAGAGATTTGTGCAAAAAGCAAAACATAAACAGCGAAAAGCGCAGAAGTCTGGTGGCCAAGTTCACGTTTTAAATTTAGAATCCTTTTTCCTGCAAATTCGGAATTTTGAAAAACGCACAAGTGAATACATGCAAATTGCGTTGCGTGCGCAACACTTTGACACGACTCGAGCGAAGTGAATCAGCTAAATGTAGTTTGCAAGAGTCAGAGAAGGATAGAATGAACTCAATTGTAAAGTGAGGTTAGACTGTGATTGGTGTAGAAACAGATCGTGAAACTGCTAATATTCTAATGTCATTGAACAAACTCAGCTGTTTGGAGGTGATTGACTGATTTGACGTCTTGCTGGTTTTGTGTAAAAATATATTTTATTTTACACCAATCTTTTGTTCGAAATTTTTGTTAGAAGTATTGAAGTTCCTTTAGCTACCGATGCTAAAATGAGCGAATTGAGTCAAGAAGAGGTGAGTTTTTTACATCCATACACTGTTTTATCATATTTACTTTCTTATTATTTGTTCGAGATAACATTGCAATGTGTTTGCTCGATGTCTTTTTATCAACAATAACGACGAATTAATTGGTTTTCAAGGAAGATTTTAATCCTTGTTATTGTCATGTTTTTAGGTTATTTTTATGATCAATACAATAGTGCAGAACGTTTGAAACAAGTAGTAATCTTAAATAATTTAAAACTCATCAATTCAAATGTTCAAGGCTTTTTGCCAATTAAACGTTAGTTGCCAGAAATCGTATTATTGCCAAAAAATAAAAAATTTGAGATGTCTTTGTTTATGTTTATGACGTCGATGTATTTATTAGCCAAAGTGACTTCTTTGTGTTACAGATACGTAAAAGACGACTTGCAAGGTTAGCAGCCTTAGGAAACGATTCCCCATCTAGCTTAACGTCGCCCCCAAACACTCCAATATCACAGTCTCCCTTAAGTGGCGGTTTAAGAAATCAATCCCCTTTAAATTTTGATTCTCCTACGGGTACGCCAATAGAAGAAAAATGCCTAGATCTAAAGCCAAAACCAAAGCTTTTAGAAGAAGAAGATAAAGCCAAAACGAGCCAGTGTTTTGATTGTAAAGTAGACCAGAAGTTTGAGGGAGTTTTTCAGATACCTAGTAAACCAATTGACATGCCTTCCAGTTCAAAGCACGCGCGACATTTACCCCAAAGGAGTGACTCTGAAACTAGTTCTATACACATGGAAGTCGATGAGGCAAGTGGCTGTGCAGAAAAAGGGGGCAACACCGACATTGATTCAGGAATTGAAAATATGGAGGTGAGTTATGAGTTTTTATTTGAGTTCATTTTAAAACATAACAAACTCTCATTCAGGTTGAAGAGGGTGACGTAAAGAGAGAAATATGTCGACAACGTACTACTTCGTCATCTGTAGAAATGTCTGAGGAACAAATACATTCGACTTTGTCCCGTTTGTTGAGTTGTACCTTCAAGGAGTCCTCAGAAACGTTCACGCATCTACCAGAGACAGCAGACCTTTTTAAAGAGGTGCCCAACATATCAGTTACTGCACTAACATCAAACAGCATCATGGAAATGCTCCAGCAGATTGCCTCCGGCGTGAATCCGTTCAAAAAGACTGATTTGCAGGACGACAGTAGTTGTCTGAATTCACTGTCTGTGAGTCCAACTCAAAATTTGAGTCCGGCTTCCAGTCCTGTTCTGAACTGTCCCATACCGTTCCTCTCGTTTAAAAGCAACGAACTCAATAACGAAATTCCGTCATTAAAACTAGCTCTGCACTACCTAATGATTTCTTATGCAAAAGTTGGCGTAGAAGAACGAAATAATCCTAAAAGGTCAAGTATTCCTCCCCTGTCGGACATCCTCAGTGACCTCAGGGAACAGCTCATCAATTATACAGCTCTTATACTTCAGGGTCTGATATTCCAACCGGCTCCTAACGCCCTCAAAGAAGGAAAGTCACCAATTTTAGTGCCTCTACTACAGCAGACGTTGCCTCGTGGGTTTATTTCTGAATTAGTTGCAAGAACTTACACTAGTCCTGATTGTTTTGCAAATATCTTTACGCCACTTCTTCAGGACCTATTTTCAATGATGCAGACGGCCAGTATTGTGGGAAACGAACACAGGCAACCTCTCCAGGCTCTCGGAGAACTGGCTGAAATCCGTTGCGGTCCCAATGGAAACCTCAGGCCCATTTGCAAACTTTTAACTCAACAGGCACAGTTTTTGCCCGAAACAATATCTCAGTCTGCAGGTCGTGAAATTACTAGAACGTCGTTTTTTGGACCTTTTCTTTCCATTTCTGTTTTTGCCGAGGACGAACCAAAAGTAGCCGAAAAATTTTTCTCTGGTAACACGACCAGCGATAAAAGCTTGACTCAGACGTTGCAACAGGAACTGGAAAATTCAAGGGTCATGCTACACAAGATTTTTCACGACGTTTTGGCCAATGCCAGTAGTCGAGATGGAATGCTACAATATTTGACTAATTTATTGAAATGTAACGAAAAAAGAGCACAACTTCAGGCCGAAGAAAGAAATCTTGCTGGCGATGGGTTCATGTTGAATGTTCTGAGTGTCTTGCAAATGTTAGCAGTGAAGGTTAAATTAGGAAAAATTGACTTTTACTACCTTTTCCATCCCAGTGCAGTTATTGACATTAAAAATGACACGAGACTGAAATTTTCTTCCCAAGAAACTACCGATTGGTTGGAAGAATTTGGTATGTTTTCTTTTCACTAAAAACATTTGTCTTTATATATTTTTTCTTGCTCTAGGTAAGCAAAATCAGTGGACAGAAGCAAAGTTTCCAACCCAGTGCTGGTTTCTGACCTTGCACTGTCATCATTTGGCCTTGATGCCAGCCTTGCAAAGGTTCCAGCGACGATTAAGAGCCATGCGTGATATTCAGAAGCTTTTAGATGACACGATAGCCACCGAGGCCCAGTGGAGGGACAGTCCTTTCGCTCATAGAAATAAGCAATTAATTAAACGATGGAAACAACAAGTCAAGAAACTTAATAAATCAAAAGCGTGTGCTGATGCTGGCCTATTAGACAAAAATTTACTTAGAAGATCGTTATCATTCTTCACTAGTGTTGCGGAATATTTGCTTTGTTTAATGACCAATAAAAGTCCAGGAGAGATCAATACAATCACGTTACCGCTTTCTCAAAACATTCCACCTGTCTTCGCAGCCTTGCCAGAGTGGTACGTGGAAGATATCGCGGAGTTTCTCCTCTTCACCCTACAGTAAGTTTTTAAATTTTTATTTCTGTTTTCAATTAAATAGAATTCTCTTTCATGAGGTATTGCCCCGTTGTGGTGGCTGACAACACAGAAAGTTCACTGCTCACGTGGATCCTGATAACGATTTGCTCGTCACAGTATGTAAAAAATCCGTACCTGATAGCCAAAATAGTGGAAGTTGTTTTCGTACTAAATCCCAACATACAACCCCGAACTGAATTGTTATACTCGCGACTTATGGCACACGAGTTCTCACACACTTTCCTGCCCAGTAGTCTCATGAAATTCTACACAGACGTCGAAACAACTGGTTCAAGTTCAGAATTCTACGATAAATTCTCTATTCGGTATCATATCAGCTTAATAATAAAAAGTAAGGGATAATTACACCAAAAAGTAATTTGAAACTATAGTATTTTAATTTTTCCTTTACAGGCATGTGGAGTTCTCCGATCCATCGCGAAGCCCTAATAAAAGAGTCTAAAAGTGGTAAACAATTTGTTCGTTTCGTAAACATGCTAATGAACGACACGACCTTTCTCTTGGATGAATCTTTGGAAAGTTTGAAACGTATTCACGAAGTCCAGGAACTGATAACTGACGAAGAAGGCTGGAGCAAGTTGCCCTCCGAACAGCAGCAGTCTCGTATGCGTCAGCTGAGCGCTGATGAACGTCAGTGTAGGTCTTATCTGACCCTTGCTAGAGAAACTGTCGACATGTTCCATTATTTGACGGTGGACATTAAGGAGCCGTTTTTAAGGCCCGAATTGGTCGACAGATTGGCGAGTATGCTCAATTTTAATTTGCAACAGTTGTGCGGACCCAAGTGCAAAAATTTAAAGGTAAAGAATCCCAACCGGTACGGGTGGGAACCGAGGAGACTCTTGAGTCAATTAGTTGACATTTATTTGCACCTGGACTGTGAAAGCTTCGCCACAGCCTTAGCAGGAGATGAGGTAAGTTTGAAACATTTTCTTTACTCAGTAAATACAATTTTCTTGGTTGCAGCGTTCGTTTAGAAAAGAACTGTTCGATGATGCCATGGTACGTTTGGAAAGAGCTTTGATAAAGACTCCGGTGGAAATAGAGCAATTCAAGGCCCTAGCAGACAAAGCAAATAAGATTTTGATACACAATCAGAAATCAGAAGATTGGCTAGCAGATGCCCCTGAGGAGTTCCGTGATCCCCTCATGGACACATTGATGACCGATCCGGTGCTACTACCAAGTGGCCAGGTTATGGACAGGTCAGTTATCATGCGGCACCTGTTGAATAGCAACACAGACCCATTCAACAGACAACCACTGACTGAAGACATGTTACAACCAGGTAAGGGTACTATTTTGTTGATTTGAAACTAAGGAGGAGTTTATAAAAAAGAAAATGCAATAATTATAGTAAGGAGTTAATTTTAATTTCAGTGACCGACTTAAAAGAAAGAATAAAAGTTTGGAAATTGGAAAAAATTCGTTCGACTAAGTAACCATATTGGTTGACTGGATAACAACACACCAAAGTGTTCCCTTTCCAAACAGTCTTTAACTTTCATTAATATTTTTTTCGAACATTTACTCGTTTCAGTGCAATTTTCTTCATTCAATCTATTTTTTATTTGTTTATTAATTCTATCCTTATTTAAGTTTGCTTTTAAATAATAATTATACAAAACAGGCGAATTATGATCGTTTGCTTTTGTAAAAGTATATGTTGTTCAAGAAAAGTTTCTTCTTTAGGCAAAATTTCAAAGTAATTATAAAAATAGTAGACAGCCTAATCTGATCTCTAACTAAACGAAAATCTTTCTTAAAAGTGTTTAAAATAATTTTGTTTTTATGTATTTTTTNTTGGAATATTCTGTATATTCCCTGACCGAAATTGTTTTTCTATTTCAAAAGCTCTTGGAAGAGTGATTAAAGGCAGCATAAACCATTTTGAATATTTAAATGACATTACCATGAGCATTATGTAAGGTATAAATAAAAGGAAAGCATACAATATGTATGAAGCAGTATGTCCTATGAGAATGGCCAGAGTGACGATCCCATTCTTTCTGTCCAATTCCATGTCCCTGGTGTTGTTGCTATGAAGAATAGCTTCTGTGTTAAGAGCCAGTGGGATAGCATAATAAATGCAGGCCCATTCAATGCGGCCAGTTTGTGCTAAGAAGGCGAAAAATACAGAAATGGGACCAAAAAGTATCAAAATTAACACATCACCTAATGCAATATATTTAAAACCAATGCCACCAGTATACAAGAAACTTGATGAAATACCACCGAAATATACTAACGCTAAATGTTCCATTTTAGCCGGTGAAAGGGTAGTAAGCATAACAAAGCCCACACATCCTATAAGATAAAGCAAAGCACCCAACGTAACTACTTCCTCTTCTGTCAAAATGTGGTCCACTAAAGTACGATCGTCAGCCTTCCGATTGTCGATTCCCTTGATGTAATCAAAGTAAGTGTTAACTAAGTTACCAGCCCCATGTACTGAGACAACTGTGAGGACTGTAAAGATTAGGTTAAGATAGCTGAAGGGAACATCACCTGGATATTTTTGAGCAATTGTACAGCCCAAAAGGGTTGGCATGAGACTTCCACTTAATGACCAAGGTCTAAGGGCGATGAAATAATTCGAAAATTTCATTAAACCAGACTTCTGCTGCTTAATAGGAGGCTTCGTTTTTCCGTTGACTAAAGTCTCATCTACGTTCTCTTCTTGTTCAAACTTAAGAAAATTTCTCTTGGCCATTTCGAGTCAGAACTCTCTAAACTTTAACTGGGAGCTCTTTCCTTTCTTATTTTGATCATGAGAACCTTAAAAACATTTAAATTTCTTCTTTTTTGACGTGACTAACGTCACCTTAACCTCAAATGCTAACCTCAATTTGTCTTCTTTTTCTTCATAGCACTGTCATAGTGAACGTGTTTATTGATACGCTATAGCAGCTAAAAAATTTAATTCTTCTAATTAAATTTATCAATAAATCATGTTTAACATCAAAGATTACTCAATAAATGAACTAATTACGCATCCGTTTGCTTTATTTTTACCAATTAATGTTATCTCATTGTGTTTAATTGCGTTTATTTTGGCCAAACATAAAAGAACCTATATTAATAATTCATCTAGATAACAAATTAATTCAGTAAACTAATTTTAAGAAATTTTTTGTTAAAACTTTCCGATTATCCCTTGTATTACAGTCAAAAGTTATATGGTAACCTCCATATTTCACATATCTGAAGCGACATCTCACGGCCGATAGTGAAATATATATATCCTTTACAAGTTTCAGCCGTATTTATTAGATGGCTACTAAAGTTTAAGTGGTAATAATAATAACATTAAAATTTGCCCGGAAGATTTTTGTTTTAATTCATCAATAAATGATGGTTAATATCGCAAATCAATCAATCGATTGCTTAATTACGCACTTCTTATCTTTAATTTTGGCAAATAACAGTAATTTATTGTCCGCATTGCATTTTTCTTGGTTAAAATTGACCCATGTATATTAATGAAAATAGAACTTTTGCTAAAAATTTTTGCTTAATTTATCAATAAATCATGTTTAACATCAAAGATTACTCAATAAATGAACTAATTACGCATCCGTTTGCTTTATTTTTGCCCTAACTATCAAAATTTATTGCATTTTTTGCATTATTTTATGTCAAAATCAACCCATGTATGATGTATCAACATTAATATTTCAACGTAGCCCAAAAACAAAATTAATTTTAAAAAATTAAGCATTTTACGTTAAAAGTTTCCGATTATCCTTTATATTTCAGTTAAAACTTACAGGATATCCTTCGTATGTCACGATCCTGAAGCGACATCTCATGGCCGATAGCCAAAATATATTTAGTTTACAGGTTTCAGCTGTATTACAGATGTTTACCAAAAGCTACTAAATAATAATAACACTAAATTTTGCCCGGCAAATTGTCTGATTTCCCATGCAACTTATGCTCTCCTAATACAAATTCTCGATTTTCGAAGTTTCGCTAATTTGTTTAATGTTTAAATTTTCTGCGAAAGTTCGATTTTAATTCCTATACGTGGGTCGACGTTGATTGAAAAAACCTAAAAACATCATAAATAATCATTTTTTTAGAAAAATAAAGCAAGCCACAGATAGTTCTTATCATTTATTAATCAGTTGTCGATATCACTTGCCATTTACTGATTAATTAAGATAAAAATTTGTCTTAATGTTCGATTTTCGTTCCCGAAAATAACCCATGTATAGCTACCTGTCGATTGTTTTTGGGAACCGAAATCGAACATTAGGATAAATTTACGCTTAATTAATCAGTAAATGACAACTGATATGGATAATTGGTTAATAAATGATAAAAATTAGCTTTGGCTTGCTTTATTTTTCTAAAAAAATGATTATTTATGGTGTTTTTTACGTTTTTTTCGGTCAACGTCGACCCACGTGTAGGAATTAAAATCGAACTATTGCAGAGAAGTTTTGCTTAATTCGTCAGTAAATCACATTTAATATGCTCTCGTTTGCTATATTTTAGTCAAAAAATTGTTATTTATGGTGATTTTGTACTAAAAATGCTCAGTTAAATTACATGTAAATCTCATTTATTATTTCCTTATTACAATTTTTGAAACATTCTTTATTGTCACAGTTTAAAAGGTCTTAAATACTATATAATTAATGTACTCGATATGGATTTATTTTTCATAAAACAGCATATACTAGAAAATCTTTTCATAAGTTCAAAAGATACATTTAAAATAAATTCATGTTATAAATAATTGTTTTGAATCTTTTAATTGATTTTTACATAAAGCTAAACAGCAATTTTAGTAATTCTGCATTATTTACTCTGTATAAATACAAAATAGACCAATTATAACAAATTATTACCATAAAATTGAAATTAAATAAAAATTATAATAAATTAATCAAAAAATGAATTAGTTACATATAAAACTTGCTTACAGTACTTATTATTATTATAAACAAACATCCTTGATACAAAATTAGAACATTAAAATGATATTCGTATAAACGTACAGTAACTTTTAAACAATAAATAAAACAGCCTTTAACTATGCAACAACAATTAAATATTCTACTTAGAGATAAATGGAAGTGATGGAATAAAACTACATGATAAAATGTATAGAATGCCAAGGATCAAATTCAGTTTAGCAGTCTTCCTTGGAATATTCTGTATATTCCCTGACCGAAATTGTTTTTCTATTTCAAAAGCTCTTGGAAGAGTGATTAAAGGCAGCATAAACCATTTTGAATATTTAAATGACATTACCATGAGCATTATGTAAGGTATAAATAAAAGGAAAGCATACAATATGTATGAAGCAGTATGTCCTATGAGAATGGCCAGAGTGACGATCCCATTCTTTCTGTCCAATTCCATGTCCCTGGTGTTGTTGCTATGAAGAATAGCTTCTGTGTTAAGAGCCAGTGGGATAGCATAATAAATGCAGGCCCATTCAATGCGGCCAGTTTGTGCTAAGAAGGCGAAAAATACAGAAATGGGACCAAAAAGTATCAAAATTAACACATCACCTAATGCAATATATTTAAAACCAATGCCACCAGTATACAAGAAACTTGATGAAATACCACCGAAATATACTAACGCTAAATGTTCCATTTTAGCCGGTGAAAGGGTAGTAAGCATAACAAAGCCCACACATCCTATAAGATAAAGCAAAGCACCCAACGTAACTACTTCCTCTTCTGTCAAAATGTGGTCCACTAAAGTACGATCGTCAGCCTTCCGATTGTCGATTCCCTTGATGTAATCAAAGTAAGTGTTAACTAAGTTACCAGCCCCATGTACTGAGACAACTGTGAGGACTGTAAAGATTAGGTTAAGATAGCTGAAGGGAACATCACCTGGATATTTTTGAGCAATTGTACAGCCCAAAAGGGTTGGCATGAGACTTCCACTTAATGACCAAGGTCTAAGGGCGATGAAATAATTCGAAAATTTCATTAAACCAGACTTCTGCTGCTTAATAGGAGGCTTCGTTTTTCCGTTGACTAAAGTCTCATCTACGTTCTCTTCTTGTTCAAACTTAAGAAAATTTCTCTTGGCCATTTCGAGTCAGAACTCTCTAAACTTTAACTGGGAGCTCTTTCCTTTCTTATTTTGATCATGAGAACCTTAAAAACATTTAAATTTCTTCTTTTTTGACGTGACTAACGTCACCTTAACCTCAAATGCTAACCTCAATTTGTCTTCTTTTTCTTCATAGCACTGTCATAGTGAACGTGTTTATTGATACGCTATAGCAGCTAAAAAATTTAATTCTTCTAATTAAATATGAATTAAGTATATCAAAGAAATATTTCCATTAGCTACNAGTGTTCTTTATCTCTGAGATTTTTCACTACTGTTATCCTTTGAATTCTTTTCCTTTGCTGGGCATTTTCCACATTTTGATTCTTATCTGGAATTTGAACATTATAACTACTTTTGTTATGAATATATTTATCAGAAAATTATTTAGCACTTACCTCCACCTTCCTCCTCAGTTTCAGACTCTGTCAAAGAATTAATTTTAATAATTACCTATTTTGAGTTAGTTTTAAAAAGTAACAGCTGAGACACTACTACAACTTACTTTTTGGCACCAGTTTTAAATTTAAAATTTCAAGTGATAACTTTATTAAATTATTCTTGAGCATTTATTCGCATTTAATTTAATTTTGTATGCCTGTATTCATTAAATAAAAAAAATATATTTACTGACTGTAATGTTTGCAAAACTTTCACTAAAACAAAACAAAAAAACTGCAACAATTTTGTTAAAAAAATAACCAATTTAATAATTAATAACATTTACTTACATGGCAAACCTCAGATAATGGCAAAAATAATATTTTTTTTTTACTCTTGGTAGACGTATTTTAAAAAGGCGTTCTCGAATTGTTTATGAGGACCTCCACATTCATTAGTGCTCCCTTCAATTACGTTTTCACTTGTCTGCAGCACTCCGTCTTGGTCCACTACAGCCTCCATAACTACCGTATCCTCCTCTGTGTCCTCTTCCATCGTCATTTCTAAATCAGACGATTCATCTTCGGGGGGGCCAACAATAGAAAAGTGAGTAGCATTTATCAGGATATCATCAGTGTCTCCATCATATCTGTAGAAGCCCCAGATCCACAATTGATTCTCCATACACTTTATATAGCCCAGCACTTTACCAAAGAAATTGTTGATTTCAATTTTTGGATGATCTTCGATGTATAGCCAGGCCCTGAGAACGTTCTTCTTTTGGAAACTGCTCAGGTCCCTTCCAAAGGATTTTTTGTCTGGCTTGGAATAAGTTCCACGAAGGAACGCCTCGAGTTCTATAATTTTTTCGATTACGTGACAGATTGTCACTTGAGTCTTTGACATTTTCCCCTTAGTCAAAAGCAAAAAGTCTCTTAACTTTTTAAAGGGGGCGATCACGTTCTCGTTTATTCTGTTTTCGAGCTTGTGCACACAGAAGAGATCTGGGGTCACGTTTATGATCCACTGCGATCGTATGTGATCGAAAAGGGGTCTCACCAAGTCCGAAATGTTCATGTGTCTTGCCTCTAGTTCTATGTTATTGAGGCCGTCCAGAATCGTGTTGACAGGCAAAAGGGGAAGCATAAGAAGCATGTGGTAGATGTTCCGAAAGAAAGAATTGGTTTCTAGATCTCGAGATAGATTCAGGGAGCATACTTTTTTATATAAATTTTGGGTATAATAAAAAACAGAACCTCCAATGTTCGAATCCACGTAAACTTCAGCTAAAGCATAGTAAAGATTTGCTTCATAGTCAGTTATTATTTCCAGGGGGCGTAAAGAAGGGGCCAAAACCGTGTATAAATATGAGAAAATCATTTTGAAGATTTCTTGAGTCTTTTTGTTGATAATGGCGAACAGAATTGGATAATACTAGAAAAACACAAAAGATAAAATATAAATATTCAAGAATAGTTTAATAACTTAAACAATTATCAAAGTTTTTTAAACAATTAGTGAATCATTTTCCTCCCATTGCAGGTAAACAAATAATTATAATACTTACACTGTCATCAATCCATACCAAAACGGTGACCAGTTGATATTTAAAGTCTTCGTGTGTGTCAATCTTGAAGGAGGCGTCCACGTACATAATTTTACTGTCGGACAGTTGCTGGATAACGTCACTGTTGGCGAAAACGATGGCCATTCCGCCATCGTCACTGTGGAACTTTTCCTGGTAAAATTGTTGATTGCTATGTGTGAAATGCAACTTTTCGAAGTAGTCTTTTTCTATGTGCTTATAAAAGTCTTCAAACGAATTTATGGGTGGCGTCTTTTGTGCCAACTGGTGACGACAAACCTCGTTTATCACGTTACGAAGCGGTACCAGGCTACGAATTTGAGGATCTCTGAAAAAAGAAGAATAATAGATTAATTTATTAAAATTAAACATTAAAGTTTACTAGGAATTTTACAGAGAATTAAATTCTCTTGAAGGTGATTGTCATTAATCCTGATTTTTCTTTCAAAAATATAAACTTAATAAAGTTGATTATATAAAATTTCGCGATGCCAAGATTATATCAATGAAATAACTTTTTCCAGTATAAGGATAATTTTAAATAAAACTAATTGAATAGGATCATCTTTGGGGAAAGTGTACAAGTATAAAACTTACTGTAAACAAACGTCTTCGTAAATACTTCTGATATTTAGAGTTTTATCTGTTTGAATTTTTCTTCTCATAACACTTAAGAACATTTGCTTCTTTTTTGTAGCTTCATTCGGAGATGGATGATTATGGGGTATTTTTACAACCAAATAATTGTCAAAGGTGTCTCCAATTATTTTTTGTTCCGCATGAGCACCACAATTAGGGACAGCACATTTTAAATGTCTAATTATAAAAGAAAAATAATTTACAAGACCAAAAGAACTCTTTATCATTGATTTTTACCTACCTCACGCTGTTCTTTAAGAGTCCATATTCAAAAAGGTAGTTATCAGCCATGACAAAGACAGTGTCATAGACACCTTCTCGAAGATTACAAGGAAATCTACCCACTGTGGACTCATATTTTTCAACAGCTTTTATTTTAATGTCTTTTGGAAGTTTAACATTACCTGACGAATGCTCTTTTCGTATTGTTGACACCGATGCAGTTTTGACGACGATTTTCTTCTTTGGATGGGGTTGCTGCTCTGATTTCACATTAATATTATTGTAGTGTTGCCTTTTAACACCAGGAATAATTACTTTTTTGGTTGTCATATTTGTAGAACTGCCTAATTTCATTTAAAAGAACAACTATATAACAAACTTTTATACTGTAATAATAAATCTTACCTTCAGATAAAGTGGAAATAATATCCTCAGTGGAGGACTTCTCTTTATTTGTCAGTTCTTTTTGAGTAGGAGACATGTCCTCTTCAATGAGTACAGTATCGGGCCCATGAATTACTTCCATGGTCTTCTCTATTTCATCTACAGCAGAAACAACTTGTTTTTGAAGTTTAATTGGTGTGAAAGAGTGTTCTTTATCTCCGAGATTTTTCACTACTGTTATCCTTTGAATTCTTTTCCTTTGCTGGGCATTTTCCACATTTTGATTCTTATCTGGAATTTGAACATTATAACTACTTCTGTTATGAATATATTTATCAGAAAATTATTTAGCACTTACCTCCACATCCCTCCTCAGTTTCAGACTCTGTCAAACTCTTCTTTTCAGTCTTAATTTGAATTTTACTTTCAAGTACAAATTCTAATGGATCACCATCAGTTTCTTCCTCCTTACCATTATCTTCTGTTATGCTACATTCTTCATTTTCTTCTTGAATATCTTCCATTGCTTCATATAGCACCTCAAAAGCATTATCATCTTCAGGCAAATCCAAACTGGCAATCTTTGTTCTATCACTTTCAGGTTTTATCACTAAAGATCTTCCACCTGTATCAGAAACAAAATGAGTTACTGTTTTCTGCTTTTTATTATCCTCTTCATTATCAGTAGATATTCGACGTTTCCTTGTTAACCTTTCATGAAGAATTTCATCACTAACTAAGCACTTTTTTCTAAATTCGTGAGCATTCTTTAAAGAATTTAAACAGCTGTTACAGATGTGTTTTGGTAGTTTATCATGTTTGGATATCTAAAATAAATTAAACTTTTATTATAAAAGTTGACATAACCTCAACCTTTTGGATACCTCCAAAGGGAAAGCACACAACATTAAAGTAGACATAACTGTAACATCATCTTCTATGTAGTCGAGTATGCTTATTTCCACATCTTTTTCAGACATACAAGCCCTACAAGTCTTCACATCTAAAACATTAGATTCAAATGTAATATACAGACTCCTAAAACTGCATCTGAAATAACCTTTTTCTTGTAGTGAATCCTTAGGGTCTTGTTCCAGTTTCTCTTCATATTTATTAATTTTTGTTGGGTTTCTAATTGTGGGTATTGCACCTTTTTTGATTTTATTGATACACTTTGTATCTGAAGTTTAAATGTCATTCAAGCTATGCATTGATGTTTTAAAATCCATAAAACATAATGTGAAAGAAGCAACGTCTATACTTTTAAAACTTACCACATATTTCTTCAGCGTTTACGGAGTTGGGTTCGAAATGATCCAAACAAACAAAACTATCTTGTCGAGGGAGGTTTTTTAATTCTAAAACATCTAACCACACTTGCTTAATAGTCTGATTTTTCGGAAAAGGAACTCCTGTGGTATTTTTACAGTTTGGCACAAAACATTTGTTACTCATTATGGTATTTGTACTATAATGGCGATTACATTTATATGTATTGAAAAAAATTAGGGTTTTTGAGAGTTATTCGTAATTACGTAATTATCTATGTAGCAGATGTATTTAATTTCACGATAATAATAACAATATTATAACTAAATTTTAAGAACTATAACACTTTTAACCGGTAAACCACACAAGCTTCTAGAAATTAATCTGTAAACGACGTTTGACATTTCGATTCGATGTTGCCAAGCTGTAAACTACATTTTCTCTAAACTGCTGCCAACTTTTATATTTAAAAAGTTTTAGAGTTGATGAAAATTAGATACACAGGAACGGACATTATACCTACTCTTTTATTTTTCTTAAATTATACTTCATATACGATTTTGAAACATTTTAAAACTAAATGAAATAATTACTTGAATTAAAGGGTAAAAGTCTTAACAGAATTAACCAATATTCTCTCATATAACATTCAAGGTCAAAGAGTTATTTGAACTATCCTTACTACTAAAAATAATGTACAGTTATAAGCCAAAGTAGCATACAGTACTAATCGAAAATACTGTATAACAGTTAAGTTCTATTATTTACTTAATAAATGAAGTTTCTGATCGAAAAATATGATAAAACGTTCCTGAAATAGAATATCCAAGCGATGCCAATAAAAAATTAAACCCATTTAATTTTTCGGGATTTAAACGGTTGGGTTAGGTTGAAGTCAATTAAAAAAAAAACAATTATAAATGAATCCATATATATTTGTATGACACATGAAGTTGAGAGATACGAAATAATTTGTATTGTTTACTGTTTGTATGTATTACTTACTGTAAACTAAATAATAGAGACACACAAAAAAGAACTTAACTTTAAAATCTTAGTTCTAGCCTTACATGTTATACATTTGAACAGCATTTTTGCATATTTGAGATCACAAAATGTATATTTATCCGCAGAATAAATTTAACATTTAGTCGATTGTTTTTGTAGGGAATGTAATGTATTTTTGGATTATCGGGTCTATTATTTATTTAAAACAAATCTGTACAAATTACCCTATATTAAAGACAGTACGATTTCCTACAAAAATAACTGACAATATACCAAATTTATTATGTTAATAAGAGCGCTATGCAAAATTACACCTGTTTTATTATCATTTCCTTTATTGGTAATAAGTCTTTCGATAGCTGCCCATATAGATTTTTTTAATGCAAACTTTTAAGTCACTGGTCAATCAATGTTTAAATACTGATTTCTTTTTCGATTTAAAAATCTGTTTTGCTTTGTTTTTTTTTTTTTAAATACTGTAATTATATATTGAAATTCGCCGGTAACAAATTAAGAAAAAGTCTGAACTTTGTATCGGATAGTGACAGATTATTTTATAACATGCACTTTCAACATTATCGTAAACGATAAAAAAAAGTTTTATGTACATAAGAAAAGCAAGACAAGTTTTGATTATTGTTTTTTAACGTTTTTTTTTTTTCAATAATTTTTTAGCAAAATTTGGCAAGACCAATTGATGATTAGGAACCAAAATAAATTTTTAAAAACGTGGTTTGTGAATATTATGTACATTGATGTTATTTGTAAAAAATAGACGATAATAGTTGATTAAATTTTTCCTTTTTGTTTGAGAATTTTATTAAAACAAATAAATTTGATGGGTATTTCTTTAATTAAAAATAAATGTCCTTTTCAGTATTTTTCTAAGGAAAAAGATAAGATAACGAAAAAAACAATGAAATAAGGAATAAATTTAATTCAACTGTTACCATCTTCTGACTTCATAAATGCATGTTTTATGTTTCATAAGTCATATTTGTATATTTATTATAAATGTTATCGCTGATTGCACTTTTAACTGTGAAAAACATTACATTTCGAATATTGGTCGCGCGTTAAAAAACATGCACTTACAAAAAAAATAAGAAAGTTTGTATTTTAATTTTCTGTTTTTCGTTTTATTTAATATAATATATATNCAACAATCAATCAATTTATTAGCGAGTCGCAAAAATACCAATTTACAGCTTCAAATTTACAAACAAAAAAATTATGAATGCAAAAAAATGGATTATGAAAAATAAACGAAGCAAACCTAAAATCGAAAAGAACTACACTGTATCTGTATTCCTTTTGTTTATTTAAAACTAAACACATAGTACGATGACCAACCACAATGTGTGGTCTTATGGAAGGTTTTTTGGCCCTTTTCTTGCCCTATCACTCTACCAACTTATAATAAAATTCCCTTAAAACAAAAACAAATAAGACTTTCAAAAAAAAAAAACGAAAACAACTGTTACACATAATTCCTTTTTACCAGGTAGCATGGTGATGTGTTAGAGCACGAAAATAAGCTCGTCGAAAACCTTGTGAAAGTATGTACAATTATAGATTAAATTAATAATTAAAACAACGCCATTTAAAGGCACCAGAAACTACCGAATACAGCCCATAAGTGAAAAATGGTAATAATAATTAATAATAGTAATAAATACAGTACATAACCGAGGCAATAAGTCCTAACATCGAATTAGTCCGGCCAAAAGGGCCAGACACGTACGGCTGACTGACTAAGAGGTAAAAAATGGCAATCAATGTGCAACTAATATAAATGAGGTGCATTTGTACAAAAACACCGAACGCTGTTAGACGTTCACGTGCGCCATTTAAAAGATTTATTTAGATTCGATTTTTTTTTAAACGACATTTTATTTGGTAGTTAGTCTTTTAGTCCCAATTTTGAACGTGACTCTTCCTTCTCACAAAAAAATTACGTTGATAATCAAAAGATGCGTACTTAATAAAATGAATATCGAATAAAATCTGTTGTAGTAATCACAACTGGTAATTGGAATAAAAATAAACGGATAAAAGTACTCACATTTCTTAAGGCTTTTCTTCCGGAGTCTTGTTCTAGGTAAAGGCAGAATTTTTTGACCTTCGACCGTTAAGTTCTTAGGTAGAGGTAGAATTTTTTGACCTTCGATGATTAAGTTTGGCATGACTCCAGGTTAGGGTACTCGAAAATCCGGAGCCAAAAATTTTGAATTTGCTTAAAAACACATTTTTATCTTGACATACTAGCGTGTGTGACATTTTGACGTTCGAATAAAAAAAACATGTAATAAATTTTTGGAGTTTCGTTTTTTTTTCTTTTAAACACTTGCACTATTATTATGGGGTAAGATCGCGTTTCTCAAAATGGCGGACTTGACGTCTATGGCGGTCAAATGTAAAAAGGCAACCGATTGATAACCGATTGCCTGGTACAAAAGTTTCACTCGGGAGCATTTTTCATTATTGCTTTCTTTTCTAAATCCTCGGCGTTGGTGATTACACTTTTGGCATTAGTTTTTTCCGAAAATTGTTTCTCTTCCTTCACAATGGATTCTTTATGATCATCATCATCATCAGCAGCAGCAGCGGCACCAATGCCGGGAGGTGGTTGCTGTTCCGTTTTTGCCCCGTCTTCTTTTTGTTCTTCTTTTATCACAAAAGGTTCCTTTTTTTCCCCTTCCGGAAGAGGGGCATCTGGTTCCGTTTTTACCATCGGCATCACTTTTTCATCAGGAACATCAGACGGTGGTGTGGCAGAAGAAGAGATGAGCGGTGAAGGACTCTGATGGCAGTGGGATTCGTTTATTGTATTGCTCTCTATAACAGAACGTTTTTCTTCTTCTTGTGTTAGCTCTTCTTCGCACTTTTCCTCCTTCGATTGTTCTACTTCCGGCAATCTTTCGTTGTTGCTCTTGAGGTCCCTAATTTCCGTCTCTAGTCGCTCAATTTTAGACTCTAGCTGACTAATTTTCGCGTCCTTATTCCGACACTCGACTATCACATTCTCGTGTGTTTTCGTAAGACGGCGTATAAAGTCCAAAATTTTTCCTCGAATGGCCACGTCTACGTCTTTGAGCACTTCTTCGATTTTTACCAAGTCCGAGTGCTTTTCGGACGTTTCGGACGCACTATCGTCAGTATCAGTCGACAACTCGATCTCCGAATTGTATTTATTGGTCTGATGATTGTGAAGTCCGATACTTTGAACGACTGATACGGCAGATTCGGGCAGCATATTTGGAGAAGACGCAACGGGAAACAGTTGAAGGTCTTCCTTGTTTCTCCGATGTTCAATTATGACATCTGCCGGAGGTGTTCGAGGGGGCTTTGTTATTTCTCCTATAACACTCGAGCGTCTTTCGTTACACTCAGTGGATTGTCCTTCGCGTTTTATTACGCTACTATTTTGAACTATTATATCAGAATTAGGAGGAGTGTTTTCGGAAGGATCGACCTTTTCCTGTTTTATGTAGATCTCTTTGATGTTCTGGTGTTCTGCGTTTTTCTCGTATCTATATTTTTTTATTTTGTGTAGAGGCGGAGGCGCTAGAGCAACATTGGGCTGAAAGCTACGTTCGAATCTTTCGGATTCCGAAAGTGGAACGACCCTTTCTGGATGCTGGAGGATCGGCGGATCCATGTATCTGTTCAGACCGGCCAAACCGTGTCGGATTTTAGTCTCTTTGAGCGACGGGAAGGGTTTAAACGCGGACAAGTGATTCCGACCGGTTTGCAGGTCCTGAAGGTACTGGAGATACAACGGATCCAGAGCTGCAGTCGTGTACAACTGCTGGATGTTGTACGGTAACTGGGCGAAATCGTCCAGTTTGTTCTTTTTGAGTGGATAATCAATTTCCGACTTCAGAAGCTCCGTGTCATGAAAAACCTGGAAAGAAAAAATAAAGTGTGGAAAAAACAAAATTCACAATCAGTAATTTGTGTATTAAAATTGGTATCTAATTAGGTAATCCTTCGGATCCACGTCGGATATTAATAACAGTATTAGTCGACCCAACCAAGCAACCCTGCCCTACCGCAACAAACGATTCGGTGGTTTCCTCCCTGATAAATATACAGATGCCCCTTTGCTGCTACTGCTGCCGCCGAGCCCTGACAGTTTTATAAATTACCGTCCGGATGGGAGGGAAGCAAGCAAGGGATAAAAAGAGCGAGGGGGGGGGTCAGGAAAATCTCCACTCTCTCTACCTATCTATCTACCACCACCACCGCCAGCACGACGGAGTTTCGAGGAGGCTTCGGGGGTTAGACGATGGTGGAGGTTTCTTATATTTCCTCTCGGCACATCACCTCCTACTAATAAGTCGCTTTACGTTGAATTGCATGTGTGTGAGTTTTTGCCGTCTCTTGACCCAAATCGAAGGGATGTAAGTGGTTAAAGCGAACCTCATGCATTCTGCAGCATGCCACGCTGCAAATCGAATGACATTACCACAGTTGTGCACAGATCAAAGAAAAAAAAAACTACAAAACGTGATTGTTTATTTTAATTGGAACGGTTGTTCAATTCAAATGATGCAATTACGCTTCTACGAAGAACGTTATTTGCCACAGATGTTTTTGTTTCTATTAAGAGATACCTACCCTTCGTTTATGATAAATTCTTATTAGTTTATTATTTTTCTTTATGTGCGTAGTCGCGATGCAGAATAAGATTTAAAATTTACAAAAAAAAAGCATGGAAGAGTGTACCTACCTTTGGCCCCCCTTTGTTCTGACCTACATAGAAAACGGCCCGGCGATCAGGTGTTCTGCTTGCCAAAATACGCAGAAGAAAAGGGAGGGTCTGATAATCCGGTTTCTATTGATGGAGTACCTTTTTCAAACGAAAACACATATACATTTATGTCGAAACAAAACTGCCATTCGTACTTATTGTAAAATCAATATTACATTGAAGCATGTATTGGGAAAAATATTTACATTTTTTTTTTAATTACGATTGGCTATTCTTCCACTCCGCTGTTAATCCTAACCCCTTCTCGTCCCCTGCGAGGATCGCCTCCAACCTAACGTCTCACACAAAGAAAAAGTAAGGGCTGCAACTCTAAAAGTCTTTAAGCGTAAAAAACAGCTGCTAGAGGACTTACTTCCACTTAAAGCCAACTAGAGTTTAATAAATAATACATGACAATTCTTTGATGAAATGAATGGTGCACACACCCTTGAAGAATAACTGGTACACTTGAACTACATTGTTCGTTTGCTCTTCGAAATGAACTGCTATTTTTTTGGATATTTGTTTATAAAGGATAGTAGCAGAAGAAGCATCATCTCTTGTTATTAATATATTTACAAACTTTAACATATAAAAGCATATTCACCTTAAAAAGGATTCGTTCGAACCGAGTAAAGTAACTCAACCAGAAGTTTCCCATTTGAATTAAAGGCAAAAAGCGAAAAGGCTGTTTGAGTCTCATTAGCTTCCAGCGCCCGTATGCATATGCAGTACATTATATCATAAAACGAGTGCCTACTTATATTACCTCATATCTAAAGCGGAGGTCGCGATTTATCGCTCGCTAAACGATACATCAATCGAATAATACGTGGTAGGTGGTGCACACGCTGCACCACGTCATATCTGCCCTCCTCTTTCGTTTGTATGTATGTAAAAGCACACGCACACATACGTGCCTGAATATTAATAATCCACTTCAATCTCCATTCCCATACACATATCTGAGCCACCTACCGTGAAAAAGCACCCCTTTTCCCGTTTCTCTCTTGTCTTAGCGGATCGCATTTAAAAATCCCCGCTGGCTCTCATCTAGAAATCCTTTCGACCCTCGCCTTCTTCACTTTTTTTTTTCGTTAAATCAATGACGACGAACGCTCCCCGCCCCCTTACAGCCCCGCCGCACTCGAGCGTCCTTAAAACAAAGCCCTCCAAACCGTTCTCATCAGTAATAATGCGTACTGCGTACGTATTTCTACATGTATTCCATACAGTCGTTCACAAACACCAAATGTGCTTCGCGAGCAGAGCTGAACGTTAAGGACATTCTTGTTTTTTTTTCTTTTGGGTGTTTTATCTCCACCAGCTACTGATGCTGGTAGGCGAATAATCCTACCGAACTACTCCAGAAGAAGAGCTAATTGCTCTTTTCAGTCCACTACTAGGAGGAATGGGCGAGTGATGGTTGAGATGAGAAAGATGAGACAGACGAAATGAAGTCAGAAGAGAGCGAAACATTATCTGTGGAATATTACTGCCCTAGAAGGAATGGCTGCGTGATGGTTGGGGTGAAAAAGATGAGACGGACGAAGGGAAGTCAGAAGAGAGGGAAACATCATCTGTGGAATCCTAGCAGGAATGGGTGGATGATGGTTGAGAATCAGAAGAGAGCGAAACATCATCTGTGGAATATTACTTCACCAGCATTTGCCTAAGTGATCCAAGAAAACCATAGAAAAACATCCACCAGAGCAGATGGACTCGGAATCAAACCAGTGTCCTCCCGAATGCTAAGCAAGGGATACTTGTGCTACCTCCACCACTGTCACTTGGCCAATTATGGGAATCTCACTTTATACAATTCCTTGGCTGCACATCTCTCACTACTCTTTTCGTCAATATATATATATTGTATAAGAAACTGTTTCCAAGATATATTATTTTTTTATAAATTTAACTAATCGGAAGTATATCGTTACCTGACTGATGCCATATGATTGACTAACTGTATGTAGTTATGCGTCATTTCAATACGTATTACGCACAATAAGCCTGTGCACTAATAATGAGTCGCAGTCCTGTCAGTCCGCGGGGAATTTCCTGGCATTATAACAATTGAACCGTAGAGCATAGAAAGGGTTAGGCGACGGAAGGAGAGTGGGTATTCCCGTGGCGCTTAGAAAAAGCATAAAGCATCTTTGCAATCAAGAAAAGAGCGCGGCTGAGGGTAAGGGTAGAAACAATCCGCCTTAGCACCCTTTCAATGTGAGACCCATTGAATATAAGAAATAAAAATGAGAACTTTGCAGATATATTACGTCCTGGAGAAAATGAAGTTTTAATTTTTATTGTACTTAGAAATCTACACATATCTAGTATCTAGGAGTATTGATCATCTCCTTCTCTGGTCCTCTTTTGCTATCGGTTATTAAAATATATTTCAAAATCTGTTACACATCCAATCATCTCGCATTGTCAATTAACGTTCTGGATAATGAAGAGGTCCTTGAGGATGAAACCGAGGCAAATCACTCCACTCCCGGGATTTTCACTTTCGCCGCCATCTCCTTCCGCGCCCCTTCCGCTCAACCCCGCCACGACCGTCACTATTTCCGCCAACGCACATGAAATAACACCACCGTTACGTTGTAGTGGGGGGCGCACAGCGACTGGCGGAATAATAGACGACACGCCACGCTTGCGTCGACCCTATCTTTATGGACTATACTGCGAAAGCAGGGTTACTAATAAAATAGATAGGGGACTTAACTTCATGGAAACGTCATGGAAACAAAGAATTAATTGTAGAATTATTCAGAGCTTGCTGTTTGCTTTGTCGTATGACATAATTGTTGAAAACATGGCGTCACTTCGATTGCATTTATTGCTTTTTCCGAATCGAGAATGGAATGGTGAGATCTCAACTAAATGTGAAGTCAAGCCATTGATTTTTCTCAAATTCTTGGCTATTTTATGGCACCTAGCGATTCTTTATGAAAGTACATCCCATGTACACACATTCCCGTTTCATATCTCCGATAAAAGAACAGAACGAATCGTGAGAGGGAAAGTAAGTTGTTCCAGACATATTTCTTTGGGCTATCTAACCAACTTGTCTGCGGATTCCTCCTTATCGTCTCTCTCGGTGAGTAGTTCTGTCTCGCTCCTTTTTACGCGCACCTACCCCAAACAAAACGCATTGTCGCGTCTGAAAGGGTGGCGCTGAGTCGAAAACGGACAGACGCGTGTTTGCCCTACATTCTGTAGGGTTGATGGAGGTGGGCCAAATTTGGGGAGGGAGGACGAAGAGGATGAAGCTGTCGAAAGACAGCGAGAACGAACAAGAGGGGCGAAAGGGGCTGAAGGGACGCAGACGGAATTCACCCTGTCTGGCTCAGGGCTAGTCGAGACAAAGGGTGGCGGAAGAGCTTTGGCGTGATGGATCGTCAAAACGACTGACTGTATTTGAGTGTAAGTAACGGTCAGGGAGATGGCCGCCACTTATCTGGTTCAGTAAAAATAAGGGTTTAAAAGTAAATTCAATGGCATTGATTGATGAATGATGTGTAAACAATATTACTTATTTAACTTTTAGCAAATGATTTGCTCACTTTTGTAGTTTTAAAATTACTTCTGAGGAGTAGACGATTGAGGAGTACTTTTAAAGTAAATAATGTGTACACGCAAAAGGTTCAAATTTAACCAGGAGAAATCTTTTAGAAAATTACGTTTTCTTCCCCCCTTTCAGTCACTGCGATCTCGAAACTGTTAACATCATTGCTTCGAAATTCACTTTTGTGAACAATTTGCTTAATCACTTTCTTTGTGTTAAAAATTGTTTCAAAAATTAAATTTACAGGAATTGTTTGTAAATAGGTATGCAACACATCGTACAGTTCAGCATAAGAAATTGCTGATACTAACTACGTAATACTACTTTGCCTTGTGCTGACACCACTCATAATTTTTTTTATATATAACATTTAGAGTACTACCTATTCTTCATATATCTCACTTTGTGTCTTCGAGGGGCATTCTGAATAATTCCTAACAATTTACCTATATTTGATTAGGTAAGATCGAGAATTGACGANCCCATGAATTACTTCCATGGTCTTCTCTATTTCATCTACAGCAGAAACAACTTGTTTTTGAAGTTTAATTGGTGTGAAAGAGTGTTCTTTATCTCTGAGATTTTTCACTACTGTTATCCTTTGAATTCTTTTCCTTTGCTGGGCATTTTCCACATTTTGATTCTTATCTGGAATTTGAACATTATAACTACTTCTGTTATGAATATATTTATCAGAAAATTATTTAGCACTTACCTCCACATCCCTCCTCAGTTTCAGACTCTGTCAAACTCTTCTTTTCAGTCTTAATTTGAATTTTACTTTCAAGTACAAATTCTAATGGATCACCATCAGTTTCTTCCTCCTTACCATTATCTTCTGTTATGCTACATTCTTCATTTTCTTCTTGAATATCTTCCATTGCTTCATATAGCACCTCAAAAGCATTATCATCTTCAGGCAAATCCAAACTGGCAATCTTTGTTCTATCACTTTCAGGTTTTATCACTAAAGATCTTCCACCTGTATCAGAAACAAAATGAGTTACTGTTTTCTGCTTTTTATTATCCTCTTCATTATCAGTAGATATTCGACGTTTCCTTGTTAACCTTTCATGAAGAATTTCATCACTAACTAAGCACTTTTTTCTAAATTCGTGAGCATTCTTTAAAGAATTTAAACAGCTGTTACAGATGTGTTTTGGTAGTTTATCATGTTTGGATATCTAAAATAAATTAAACTTTTATTATAAAAGTTGACATAACCTCAACCTTTTGGATACCTCCAAAGGGAAAGCACACAACATTAAAGTAGACATAACTGTAACATCATCTTCTATGTAGTCGAGTATGCTTATTTCCACATCTTTTTCAGACATACAAGCCCTACAAGTCTTCACATCTAAAACATTAGATTCAAATGTAATATACAGACTCCTAAAACTGCATCTGAAATAACCTTTTTCTTGTAGTGAATCCTTAGGGTCTTGTTCCAGTTTCTCTTCATATTTATTAATTTTTGTTGGGTTTCTAATTGTGGGTATTGCACCTTTTTTGATTTTATTGATACACTTTGTATCTGAAGTTTAAATGTCATTCAAGCTATGCATTGATGTTTTAAAATCCATAAAACATAATGTGAAAGAAGCAACGTCTATACTTTTAAAACTTACCACATATTTCTTCAGCGTTTACGGAGTTGGGTTCGAAATGATCCAAACAAACAAAACTATCTTGTCGAGGGAGGTTTTTTAATTCTAAAACATCTAACCACACTTGCTTAATAGTCTGATTTTTCGGAAAAGGAACTCCTGTGGTATTTTTACAGTTTGGCACAAAACATTTGTTACTCATTATGGTATTTGTACTATAATGGCGATTACATTTATATGTATTGAAAAAAATTAGGGTTTTTGAGAGTTATTCGTAATTACGTAATTATCTATGTAGCAGATGTATTTAATTTCACGATAATAATAACAATATTATAACTAAATTTTAAGAACTATAACACTTTTAACCGGTAAACCACACAAGCTTCTAGAAATTAATCTGTAAACGACGTTTGACATTTCGATTCGATGTTGCCAAGCTGTAAACTACATTTTCTCTAAACTGCTGCCAACTTTTATATTTAAAAAGTTTTAGAGTTGATGAAAATTAGATACACAGGAACGGACATTATACCTACTCTTTTATTTTTCTTAAATTATACTTCATATACGATTTTGAAACATTTTAAAACTAAATGAAATAATTACTTGAATTAAAGGGTAAAAGTCTTAACAGAATTAACCAATATTCTCTCATATAACATTCAAGGTCAAAGAGTTATTTGAACTATCCTTACTACTAAAAATAATGTACAGTTATAAGCCAAAGTAGCATACAGTACTAATCGAAAATACTGTATAACAGTTAAGTTCTATTATTTACTTAATAAATGAAGTTTCTGATCGAAAAATATGATAAAACGTTCCTGAAATAGAATATCCAAGCGATGCCAATAAAAAATTAAACCCATTTAATTTTTCGGGATTTAAACAGTTGGGTTAGGTTGAAGTCAATTAAAAAAAAAACAATTATAAATGAATCCATATATATTTGTATGACACATGAAGTTGAGAGATACGAAATAATTTGTATTGTTTACTGTTTGTATGTATTACTTACTGTAAACTAAATAATAGAGACACACAAAAAAGAACTTAACTTTAAAATCTTAGTTCTAGCCTTACATGTTATACATTTGAACAGCATTTTTGCATATTTGAGATCACAAAATGTATATTTATCCGCAGAATAAATTTAACATTTAGTCGATTGTTTTTGTAGGGAATGTAATGTATTTTTGGATTATCGGGTCTATTATTTATTTAAAACAAATCTGTACAAATTACCCTATATTAAAGACAGTACGATTTCCTACAAAAATAACTGACAATATACCAAATTTATTATGTTAATAAGAGCGCTATGCAAAATTACACCTGTTTTATTATCATTTCCTTTATTGGTAATAAGTCTTTCGATAGCTACCCATATAGATTTTTTTAATGCAAACTTTTAAGTCACTGGTCAATCAATGTTTAAATACTGATTTCTTTTTCGATTTAAAAATCTGTTTTGCTTTGTTTTTTTTTTTTTAAATACTGTAATTATATATTGAAATTCGCCGGTAACAAATTAAGAAAAAGTCTGAACTTTGTATCGGATAGTGACAGATTATTTTATAACATGCACTTTCAACATTATCGTAAACGATAAAAAAAAGTTTTATGTACATAAGAAAAGCAAGACAAGTTTTGATTATTGTTTTTTAACGTTTTTTTTTTTTTTCAANTTTCATTATTGCTTTCTTTTCTAAATCCTCGGCGTTGGTGATTACACTTTTGGCATTAGTTTTTTCCGAAAATTGTTTCTCTTCCTTCACAATGGATTCTTTATGATCATCATCATCAGCAGCAGCAGCGGCACCAATGCCGGGAGGTGGTTGCTGTTCCGTTTTTGCCCCGTCTTCTTTTTGTTCTTCTTTTATCACAAAAGGTTCCTTTTTTTCCCCTTCCGGAAGAGGGGCATCTGGTTCCGTTTTTACCATCGGCATCACTTTTTCATCAGGAACATCAGACGGTGGTGTGGCAGAAGAAGAGATGAGCGGTGAAGGACTCTGATGGCAGTGGGATTCGTTTATTGTATTGCTCTCTATAACAGAACGTTTTTCTTCTTCTTGTGTTAGCTCTTCTTCGCACTTTTCCTCCTTCGATTGTTCTACTTCCGGCAATCTTTCGTTGTTGCTCTTGAGGTCCCTAATTTCCGTCTCTAGTCGCTCAATTTTAGACTCTAGCTGACTAATTTTCGCGTCCTTATTCCGACACTCGACTATCACATTCTCGTGTGTTTTCGTAAGACGGCGTATAAAGTCCAAAATTTTTCCTCGAATGGCCACGTCTACGTCTTTGAGCACTTCTTCGATTTTTACCAAGTCCGAGTGCTTTTCGGACGTTTCGGACGCACTATCGTCAGTATCAGTCGACAACTCGATCTCCGAATTGTATTTATTGGTCTGATGATTGTGAAGTCCGATACTTTGAACGACTGATACGGCAGATTCGGGCAGCATATTTGGAGAAGACGCAACGGGAAACAGTTGAAGGTCTTCCTTGTTTCTCCGATGTTCAATTATGACATCTGCCGGAGGTGTTCGAGGGGGCTTTGTTATTTCTCCTATAACACTCGAGCGTCTTTCGTTACACTCAGTGGATTGTCCTTCGCGTTTTATTACGCTACTATTTTGAACTATTATATCAGAATTAGGAGGAGTGTTTTCGGAAGGATCGACCTTTTCCTGTTTTATGTAGATCTCTTTGATGTTCTGGTGTTCTGCGTTTTTCTCGTATCTATATTTTTTTATTTTGTGTAGAGGCGGAGGCGCTAGAGCAACATTGGGCTGAAAGCTACGTTCGAATCTTTCGGATTCCGAAAGTGGAACGACCCTTTCTGGATGCTGGAGGATCGGCGGATCCATGTATCTGTTCAGACCGGCCAAACCGTGTCGGATTTTAGTCTCTTTGAGCGACGGGAAGGGTTTAAACGCGGACAAGTGATTCCGACCGGTTTGCAGGTCCTGAAGGTACTGGAGATACAACGGATCCAGAGCTGCAGTCGTGTACAACTGCTGGATGTTGTACGGTAACTGGGCGAAATCGTCCAGTTTGTTCTTTTTGAGTGGATAATCAATTTCCGACTTCAGAAGCTCCGTGTCATGAAAAACCTGGAAAGAAAAAATAAAGTGTGGAAAAAACAAAATTCACAATCAGTAATTTGTGTATTAAAATTGGTATCTAATTAGGTAATCCTTCGGATCCACGTCGGATATTAATAACAGTATTAGTCGACCCAACCAAGCAACCCTGCCCTACCGCAACAAACGATTCGGTGGTTTCCTCCCTGATAAATATACAGATGCCCCTTTGCTGCTACTGCTGCCGCCGAGCCCTGACAGTTTTATAAATTACCGTCCGGATGGGAGGGAAGCAAGCAAGGGATAAAAAGAGCGAGGGGGGGGGTCAGGAAAATCTCCACTCTCTCTACCTATCTATCTACCACCACCACCGCCAGCACGACGGAGTTTCGAGGAGGCTTCGGGGGTTAGACGATGGTGGAGGTTTCTTATATTTCCTCTCGGCACATCACCTCCTACTAATAAGTCGCTTTACGTTGAATTGCATGTGTGTGAGTTTTTGCCGTCTCTTGACCCAAATCGAAGGGATGTAAGTGGTTAAAGCGAACCTCATGCATTCTGCAGCATGCCATGCTGCAAATCGAATGACATTACCACAGTTGTGCACAGATCAAAGAAAAAAAAAACTACAAAACGTGATTGTTTATTTTAATTGGAACGGTTGTTCAATTCAAATGATGCAATTACGCTTCTACGAAGAACGTTATTTGCCACAGATGTTTTTGTTTCTATTAAGAGATACCTACCCTTCGTTTATGATAAATTCTTATTAGTTTATTATTTTTCTTTATGTGCGTAGTCGCGATGCAGAATAAGATTTAAAATTTACAAAAAAAAAGCATGGAAGAGTGTACCTACCTTTGGCCCCCCTTTGTTCTGACCTACATAGAAAACGGCCCGGCGATCAGGTGTTCTGCTTGCCAAAATACGCAGAAGAAAAGGGAGGGTCTGATAATCCGGTTTCTATTGATGGAGTACCTTTTTCAAACGAAAACACATATACATTTATGTCGAAACAAAACTGCCATTCGTACTTATTATAAAATCAATATTACATTGAAGCATGTATTGGGAAAAATATTTACATTTTTTTTTTAATTACGATTGGCTATTCTTCCACTCCGCTGTTAATCCTAACCCCTTCTCGTCCCCTGCGAGGATCGCCTCCAACCTAACGTCTCACACAAAGAAAAAGTAAGGGCTGCAACTCTAAAAGTCTTTAAGCGTAAAAAACAGCTGCTAGAGGACTTACTTCCACTTAAAGCCAACTAGAGTTTAATAAATAATACATGACAATTCTTTGATGAAATGAATGGTGCACACACCCTTGAAGAATAACTGGTACACTTGAACTACATTGTTCGTTTGCTCTTCGAAATGAACTGCTATTTTTTTGGATATTTGTTTATAAAGGATAGTAGCAGAAGAAGCATCATCTCTTGTTATTAATATATTTACAAACTTTAACATATAAAAGCATATTCACCTTAAAAAGGATTCGTTCGAACCGAGTAAAGTAACTCAACCAGAAGTTTCCCATTTGAATTAAAGGCAAAAAGCGAAAAGGCTGTTTGAGTCTCATTAGCTTCCAGCGCCCGTATGCATATGCAGTACATTATATCATAAAACGAGTGCCTACTTATATTACCTCATATCTAAAGCGGAGGTCGCGATTTATCGCTCGCTAAACGATACATCAATCGAATAATACGTGGTAGGTGGTGCACACGCTGCACCACGTCATATCTGCCCTCCGCTTTCGTTTGTATGTATGTAAAAGCACACGCACACATACGTGCCTGAATATTAATAATCCACTTCAATCTCCATTCCCATACACATATCTGAGCCACCTACCGTGAAAAAGCACCCCTTTTCCCGTTTCTCTCTTGTCTTAGCGGATCGCATTTAAAAATCCCCGCTGGCTCTCATCTAGAAATCCTTTCGACCCTCGCCTTCTTCACTTTTTTTTTTCGTTAAATCAATGACGACGAACGCTCCCCGCCCCCTTACAGCCCCGCCGCACTCGAGCGTCCTTAAAACAAAGCCCTCCAAACCGTTCTCATCAGTAATAATGCGTACTGCGTACGTATTTCTACATGTATTCCATACAGTCGTTCACAAACACCAAATGTGCTTCGCGAGCAGAGCTGAACGTTAAGGACATTCTTGTTTTTTTTTCTTTTGGGTGTTTTATCTCCACCAGCTACTGATGCTGGTAGGCGAATAATCCTACCGAACTACTCCAGAAGAAGAGCTAATTGCTCTTTTCAGTCCACTACTAGGAGGAATGGGCGAGTGATGGTTGAGATGAGAAAGATGAGACAGACGAAATGAAGTCAGAAGAGAGCGAAACATTATCTGTGGAATATTACTGCCCTAGAAGGAATGGCTGCGTGATGGTTGGGGTGAAAAAGATGAGACGGACGAAGGGAAGTCAGAAGAGAGGGAAACATCATCTGTGGAATCCTAGCAGGAATGGGTGGATGATGGTTGAGAATCAGAAGAGAGCGAAACATCATCTGTGGAATATTACTTCACCAGCATTTGCCTAAGTGATCCAAGAAAACCATAGAAAAACATCCACCAGAGCAGATGGACTCGGAATCAAACCAGTGTCCTCCCGAATGCTAAGCAAGGGATACTTGTGCTACCTCCACCACTGTCACTTGGCCAATTATGGGAATCTCACTTTATACAATTCCTTGGCTGCACATCTCTCACTACTCTTTTCGTCAATATATATATATTGTATAAGAAACTGTTTCCAAGATATATTATTTTTTTATAAATTTAACTAATCGGAAGTATATCGTTACCTGACTGATGCCATATGATTGACTAACTGTATGTAGTTATGCGTCATTTCAATACGTATTACGCACAATAAGCCTGTGCACTAATAATGAGTCGCAGTCCTGTCAGTCCGCGGGGAATTTCCTGGCATTATAACAATTGAACCGTAGAGCATAGAAAGGGTTAGGCGACGGAAGGAGAGTGGGTATTCCCGTGGCGCTTAGAAAAAGCATAAAGCATCTTTGCAATCAAGAAAAGAGCGCGGCTGAGGGTAAGGGTAGAAACAATCCGCCTTAGCACCCTTTCAATGTGAGACCCATTGAATATAAGAAATAAAAATGAGAACTTTGCAGATATATTACGTCCTGGAGAAAATGAAGTTTTAATTTTTATTGTACTTAGAAATCTACACATATCTAGTATCTAGGAGTATTGATCATCTCCTTCTCTGGTCCTCTTTTGCTATCGGTTATTAAAATATATTTCAAAATCTGTTACACATCCAATCATCTCGCATTGTCAATTAACGTTCTGGATAATGAAGAGGTCCTTGAGGATGAAACCGAGGCAAATCACTCCACTCCCGGGATTTTCACTTTCGCCGCCATCTCCTTCCGCGCCCCTTCCGCTCAACCCCGCCACGACCGGCACTATTTCCGCCAACGCACATGAAATAACACCACCGTTACGTTGTAGTGGGGGGCGCACAGCGACTGGCGGAATAATAGACGACACGCCACGCTTGCGTCGACCCTATCTTTATGGACTATACTGCGAAAGCAGGGTTACTAATAAAATAGATAGGGGACTTAACTTCATGGAAACGTCATGGAAACAAAGAATTAATTGTAGAATTATTCAGAGCTTGCTGTTTGCTTTGTCGTATGACATAATTGTTGAAAACATGGCGTCACTTCGATTGCATTTATTGCTTTTTCCGAATCGAGAATGGAATGGTGAGATCTCAACTAAATGTGAAGTCAAGCCATTGATTTTTCTCAAATTCTTGGCTATTTTATGGCACCTAGCGATTCTTTATGAAAGTACATCCCATGTACACACATTCCCGTTTCATATCTCCGATAAAAGAACAGAACGAATCGTGAGAGGGAAAGTAAGTTGTTCCAGACATATTTCTTTGGGCTATCTAACCAACTTGTCTGCGGATTCCTCCTTATCGTCTCTCTCGGTGAGTAGTTCTGTCTCGCTCCTTTTTACGCGCACCTACCCCAAACAAAACGCATTGTCGCGTCTGAAAGGGTGGCGCTGAGTCGAAAACGGACAGACGCGTGTTTGCCCTACATTCTGTAGGGTTGATGGAGGTGGGCCAAATTTGGGGAGGGAGGACGAAGAGGATGAAGCTGTCGAAAGACAGCGAGAACGAACAAGAGGGGCGAAAGGGGCTGAAGGGACGCAGACGGAATTCACCCTGTCTGGCTCAGGGCTAGTCGAGACAAAGGGTGGCGGAAGAGCTTTGGCGTGATGGATCGTCAAAACGACTGACTGTATTTGAGTGTAAGTAACGGTCAGGGAGATGGCCGCCACTTATCTGGTTCAGTAAAAATAAGGGTTTAAAAGTAAATTCAATGGCATTGATTGATGAATGATGTGTAAACAATATTACTTATTTAACTTTTAGCAAATGATTTGCTCACTTTTGTAGTTTTAAAATTACTTCTGAGGAGTAGACGATTGAGGAGTACTTTTAAAGTAAATAATGTGTACACGCAAAAGGTTCAAATTTAACCAGGAGAAATCTTTTAGAAAATTACGTTTTCTTCCCCCCTTTCAGTCACTGCGATCTCGAAACTGTTAACATCATTGCTTCGAAATTCACTTTTGTGAACAATTTGCTTAATCACTTTCTTTGTGTTAAAAATTGTTTCAAAAATTAAATTTACAGGAATTGTTTGTAAATAGGTATGCAACACATCGTACAGTTCAGCATAAGAAATTGCTGATACTAACTACGTAATACTACTTTGCCTTGTGCTGACACCACTCATAATTTTTTTATATATAACATTTAGAGTACTACCTATTCTTCATATATCTCACTTTGTGTCTTCGAGGGGCATTCTGAATAATTCCTAACAATTTACCTATATTTGATTAGGTAAGATCGAGAATTGACGAGAATAACAAATTCTTTCTATTTTCACATGTAAAAACATACGCACAAACATATTACACACTAGAAGTTATCCCATCCATCCCGAAAACAGCTATAGCCG